GCTGTCCTTTATGTTGTCCCCTTCTTTTTCATTAATACTATCAATCTTATGTTGTTTTTCTTTGTGTCACCTTGCAGTTGTTGAATTGTTATTTCCAGATTCCTCATTATTTTTAAAAGATCTTTCCTTTCCTGTTCACTAGCTGCAATCTTGTCTTTGAGGTCCGAAATTCTGTCTTCACTTTCATTGAGGCAGTTTTTACAGCTTTCAGTGGAATTTTTGATTTCCTGTATATCTCTGTGCATCTGCTTTATGTATTGTTTGTTTCTTAAATTGCTCATCCAGGGGTTCTATCTTTTTTTGTTTAGTTCCTCCAGCTTTTTAACTGTGTCTTCTTTAGATATGCTCAGCATCTCCTTCATTTCTTTTATCATTTCTTCTTTTACCTGGGAGGTTATTTCTAGTTTGAATTCCTTTAAAGCTTCCTGGAGTTGCTTCTTTATTTCAGTTGCTATTATATCCGATATTTCAGGTGTATGGAATATATTTGCTTCTATGTACATTGCTCCTAAGGTTTCTTTGGATGGGCTGGAGGCTTGAGATTGTAACTTTGTCTCTCATTTTGTCATGTTCCTATATTTCTGTGTTTCAAGAGTTATTCCAAGGCTTCCCTAGGGTCTGTTGGAGATCCGTTTCTATGCCCTCAGCTCCTGGTACTCTGTCCACCCAGCTCTTGGGATTGAGAGAGAGTCTCTGGGGGTAGGGCAGGCTGGCCCAAGCCCAGCCCCCAGAACTGATGATGCCTGCTCACCCAGACCTCCAGAAACCTCCAAGCATAGCCAGAGAGGAGAGGCTGCCCTAGCCCCGCCCAGGACCCTCAGCGCTGATTCAGTGCACAGGGAAGTCACAAAGTTCCCTTTCTGGGCTGTGCACGGTGAGTCCCAAACTAGTTGGACTCCGGGGAAAGTGCACAGGCACTTACATCAGACCACCCAGCCTCTGGAGGTAATGGCGCCCACCCACTTGCCTTCCCCAAAACTCCAGAGTCCACTAAGCACCACTGGGTGCAGGGAGGCTGTTGCAGACACAGACACACCCAGGATGCACCTGCTGGTCTTTTGCACCAGGAAGCCACAAGGATCTGTTTTGCAGTCCTTAAAGTTTCTTCATCATATGACTCTGAAAGTACATGACAGAAAAAGCCTCTCTCTCTCTCTCTCTCTCTCTCTCTCTCTCTCTCTCTCTGTGTGTGTGTGTGTGTGTGTGTGTGTGTGTGTGTGTGTGTGTGTGCGAATGTGCATTCATGTCCTTGCATCAGTATACCAAGATGGGCATGTTCAGCAGATTTTCTGTCACTTTCAGACATTCATCAAACACATCACTCTTTCCCAGAAGCATCCAATTATGCATATTTCTTTCACCAAGAATTTGACTTCATGTTCATCCATTCATTCAGTCATTCAAACATCTTCATAATGGCCAGTATTTATGAAGTAGGAAAAAACCCAAAATACAATTTATTCCTAATATTGTCAATTGTCCAAAGAATATTTTTCTTTCCTTGTTGTATTACTAAGGATGATAACTTATATAACTTATAAAGCAATGTAGGGATGCATGAAACATTGTGTGTAATGACCTTAAAGCATAGATTGACAAATAGTGTTATGGCTTTGAACTTAATTGTGTTCCCAAAGCTTATGAGTTAAAGACTTGGTTCCCAGCTAATGCCACCATTGGGTGGTAGGGAAATAATAATGAGCTAGATCCAGGTGGAAGGAAGTCTCATTACTGTGGGATTCCCCTACAGAGAATATTGGGGTCATATCCCCTTCTCTCTCTGTTTCCAAGCTACCATGAGATAAATAGGCTCCTCTATCATGCATGTATGCTGCTGTAGCTTGTATCTTGTACCCCTAAAACCTCAGTCATAAGTGGGCCTGGATCTGTGTGATGCTGGGATTCATAGTTCAATGCTAGGATCAACAGTACTAGGATTAAGGATGTGAGTGTTACCTACAATGGGTAGCCTGAATAAAAGATGAGGGATAGAAAGATATATGGTCATCCCTTGTTTCTTTCTCCTTCTGCCTGCCATGAATTATTTCTCCTGTGTGATGCCATCCCGATTATAGACTGAAACCTCTACAAACTTGGGGCTACATAAATCTTTTCTCCTTTAACTTTAGGTGTTGGGAATTCTGTCTCAGCAACAAAAAAAGGTGACTAAGGCATTTGCCGTGAGGTTCTGCCTAACCACAACCTCACAACCAATAAGCCAGTTTACCATTGAGAAGCACATCTGAAACACTGAGGCAAAGTACAGTTTTCCTTCTTGGTGTTTTGTCACAGGAATAGAAAATTGACTAACATAGTAAATATTCATCATGTATTTGTTATTTTTCTAATAATATGAGAAAACAGGATAATGTATAAACCATAAATATTATGACCCACAACATTTTTATGAATATAATTAATTATAAAACACATATAATTGTGCTTCATCCCTTTTGGCAACGCACACAACAAGATAATTGTCCAGCACATTAGAATGGAATCAAAATCCTCAACATAATGCTATTTGTGTTTTTTGATGTGCTGTCTGTTTCAACAATACATAAATATCAGTTGTCCTGTCACTGTATCCATTTGGCACTTCAGGAATCAATCTAACAAGAATGTAAAATATTTGTACAGTGAAAATTAAAAGCATCCTTTAAAAATTAGGTTGAAAAGGATATCAGACAATGGAACATTGTCTTTTGGTTATTGATATAGAGAACCAACATTGTGAAAATGGCCATATTCCCAAAATAATTGTACAGAATTAATGCAATCCTGATCAAAATGCCATTAGTATATCTCACATACCCAGAGAAAAAACTCCTAAAATCAATTTGGAAACAGAAGAGACCTAGAATAGCAAAAGCAATACTGGGCAACAAAAGCAAGGTAGGAGACATCACAATCTTTGGGCAACAAAAGCAAGGTAGGAGATATCACAAAGCTACCATGATAAAATCAGTATGATACTGGCAAAAAACATCACAATCCTGGGCAACAAAAGCAAGGTAGGAGACATCACAAAGCTACCATGATAAAATCAGTATGGTACTGGCAAAAAACAGATGCAAAGATCAACGGAACAGATTAGAAGATGCACACACAACTACAAAGATGTTCAGCCACCTTATTTTTGACAAAGGGGTAAAATATGTTCACTATAAGAAAGTCTCTTTTAATAAATGATCTGGAAAAATTGACTTTTCACTTGCTGAAGACTAAACCTAGACACATGTCTATCACCATCGACTAAAGTCAAAATCATACAAAGGACTATCTAAAACATAAAGGAACTGAAAAAAATCATGACTCCCAAATGCAAAAACCCAATTCAAAAACGGGCATCTAAGATAAATATACACTTCTCAGACAAAGAAATACAAATGGCAAATAAATATATGAAAAAATGTTCAACATCACTTGTCATTTGAGAAATGCAAATTAACACACTGAGCTTCCATCTCACTCTAGAAAGAATGGCTCTACTCAGGAAATCAACAAATAATGAATATTCTTGGGACTGTGGGGAAAATGGAACTCTTCTCCAATGATGGTGGGAGTGTAGAATGGTACAATTACTGTGGAAATCAGTGTGGATATTCCTCAAAAACCAGGATCGGAAGTCCCATTCGTTCCAGTTATTACTCTTCTGGGTATTTTCCCAGAAAAAATGAGAACATCATACCACAGCATTATATGTTCACCCATGTTTATAGCGGCACAATTTGTAGTAGATAAATCTTGAAAACAATCCAAATGCCCACAAACCATAAAATGGATTAAAAAAAATGTGGTTTTTTTAATATGATGGTATACTTCTCAGCTATAAAGAGAGTTAAATTCGAGACTTTTATAGGTAAATGAATGCAACCTGATACCATACTCATAAGTGAAACAAATCAGACTCATGTGTAAACATTTTATTGTCAGTGTAAAAAACTGAGAGAGTAAATAAGATCCAAAATGTACAATAGCTATTGTGAAAATGAAGAGGAAGAAACTGTTCAAAAGGAACAAACAACTGGATGGGGAAAAGAAGAAAAAAAGAAGGGAAAAAATATGTCATTGTTTGATCATTTCTTCATGCCTATGTCTTTTAATCTGAGCAATTACTTTGAAGAGAACAATACACAATATATTAACCATTGTTAATCTCCTGTTATTGTGTTTTGAAATTCTGTATAATCATTTTTATTTTTTCATTAAAATTTAAAAAGTGAGAATAATATAATATTCAGGACCTGAGATGTAGCTCAGTGGCACAGTGCCTGCCTGGCAAGTGGGATGCCCTGAGTTCCATTCCCAGCAGAAAAAAAAAAAAAAAGAGAAAGAAAAGAAATATAAATAAATAAATATCTGTTACCACTTCAATTGAAGGTAAAAATCATATTAATTAAACAGTGTAGTGAAGCACTAAGCTCCTCTAGTTTTCTATTTTACAAATGGAAATTTTACCAATAGGTAGAAGGAGCAGGAGAGAGAGGAGGAGAGAAAAGAGGGAAAGGGTAAGAAAAAAGAATTAAGATGCCTTATAAATGGGCTATATACCAGGAGGAAGACAATCATGGTTTACTGAAAACATGCACTGTTAACAAATTGTAAAAAAATGAAAAGGGGTAATAAATTTATTAAAGTAACTGAGGAGAATAGTCAACGGTAAATATTTCAGTAAACCTATATAGAAATAAGCAGCTTTTATGAATGTAACCAGAATGTAGCCTGATCTGGTTCCACCCCTTGGTAATCTCAGAACTCTTAGGTGGTGAGGTAGGAGGAGCACAATTTTGAATCTCACTTGGGCAGTTTTGTGAAAGACTACCCCAAAATAAAAAATAAAAAGGGGGCTGGGCTTGTGGCTTAGTATGAAATTCCAGAGTTCAATCTTCAGTACTGAAAAAAATAAAGAAGCAAAAATATTCTGAATATTTTACATATGCATTTTTTAATTTTCTATACTTTTGATTCAAGAAATAAAACATATCTGAATCTGAGATAGAATAATATATTCCAAAAGACTAAATCATTCTCATTTACAAATTCTTTGATTCAGAAAAAATTTACATTTGTTAGAAGTTAAATATTCTTCTCTGTGCATGTGACAGGTTTCAGAAACAATTCCTCTGATTCTTTAATTACAAAATTATAGCTGCAAACTGGTGGTCTGTGAAAGAGAAAAAAGAGACAAAATAACAATTATTAACACAGTAAACTTTATTTCTTTTGCACATTAATATTAGAATATTCTAGGTCTGTGAATAACTAATTCTCCAAATGTAGACATTCGGAACAAACCTGTGGGATCTACATGACTCCATCTCATTTAGTTGTGTAGGGATGAAGTAGACATAATACTTAAAAAATGCTCCATTTGAATATGTCTTTGTTGATTCACAGATACTTAACACTGTGTGAGAGATACTGTTGGATACTGAAATCTGTATTCAACTTTTAAAAGCCAGGGGGCTCCTTCCAAAATGACCACCTCCAGGGAAGAACACTGAAAAGTAGACGTAGATGTTGCCTAGATGTCTTAGAAATCTCTTTTGCTACCCATTACAGTGGAAATAGTAACACCTTAAGCCATTTATATCTTGAAGATATTTTAGATAGATAGATAGATAGATAGATAGATAGATAGATGATAGATAGATAGAGTAGTTATAGACAAAGTAAAACAAGACTCTATAATGAAGTAAGCATTTTTTTCAGTTGCGAGATTATCATATCTTCTCTGGTAATTTTGAAGAACTGTCAAAAACAGAAATCAATGAAAATAAAAGATGATTGATTGGGGCCAGGAATTTAGCTCAGTGGCATAAGGACCTGCCTGGCAAGCATGAAGTCCTGAGTTTGATCCTTGGTTAAAAAAAAAAAAAAAAAAAAAATTGGTAAAATCTCAGGAAGGGAGCAAAACAAAACATGATGGAAAATGGGAATCTCCTGGGCTGACGACAGTGAAGCAAGGAGGAAGAGCCATATCAGCTGCATCAGAGGATGCAACTCACCCTCAGTTCCCTGCACTGCTCTAGCTCGAGACCCCTCACTTCGTCTCCTGCCAGCTTGCTTGAAACTGCATTGAACAGTTTTAAAATGTTCAGGAGCCCTTTTAATTCTAGTCATGTTAGTTTTTAAATACAGCTGCTGAAAAGTAATAAAAACTAATATAGAAGAATTACACTTTTATTTATAAAAGTTGACTTAGGATACCACAGTATTTTCCATTTGAGTTAACAAAAGCAGTTTGGAATTTTCATTTTAGTACAACAATAAAAGTCAGTAACATTTCAAATATAATATTTTTGGTTGCTTTCAAAAGTAGCTTTTACTAACTTGTCAGAGAACAAAATTTGTATGTTTGTTATTTATTTATTAATTCGATTTTGTGTACCATTAATTGAACTCAGGACCTCATGCTTGCCAGGTGGGCACTGTGGCAAGCTATATCCCTGGCTGCATACAAATGTTTTCAGAATAAGTACATACAATTGAAGGATCATACATCTTCTCCATTATTAGAAAATTACTTTATCTATTTGTTCAAATAAATGTATGTACACTTATGCAAATTCTCCCTCTCTTCTGCAATGTGTCTTATCACTTTGTACTGTTAAAGTCTTGAAGTTCCTGGATGTACCTCATTTTTAATTTTTCACAATAGGATAAGTGTGTCATTAGACATAAGTGGATAAATTATCACAGTCATACTGTAATTGTCCTATTTACAGATTTATCAAATATTAAGGAATATTAAAGCAAATATATGTTTGTTTCTTTTCTGCAATATAATGGATGTGGTAAATATACAATTCATTCAATATTCTACATTTTATAAAGCTTCCACAAAAACTGTAGAACAGTTTCATCAGTTAAGAATGCCTGCTGAAGTTAAATTTCACCATAATATGTAAAAAAAGAACGTTTCCACTGTGACCAGTCGTCTAATTTCATTATCATCACTCTTATTTTAACATGTTAACTATGTTATGTGTAGTTTCTTCTTCACAGATAATAAAAATGCTTTGTAAGTTATAAAAAAATGTGTAATGTATTTGCAACTCTCATGAAAATATTGTTTGTTTTTTTTTAATTTCAAAAAAGTACCCCAACTATTAAATCTCTAAGGCTTTGCCTACCATAAATTCTTAGAAATGAACATATAAAATATAAAGTATAATTGAAGAAATCCTTAAAGTTTAAGTGTAATCTAGTTATTAACTTTAATCTGTATATCATATCAAATTACAAAAATTGTACAAGCTTCCTATTTCAAAATCTTTCTAAGGCTTTCACCAAAATAATACCACACATAATATTCTTTTTAAAAGTTTCCCTGAATAAGATTTTAGGCAATAATTCAGACAGAAATAGAGATGATTCCAAAATAGAGAGAAACCAATGATCCCTAGGTCACAAGGTACAGTGCAGAGAACTCTTGCCTAGGTATTGGGAGTAATTAAGTCTGTCTTGAGCACTGCTCCAGGTCTGCTCCAGGTCTGCCAAAAAGACTGTAAGAAATTTAACATATTTAAAACAGACCTTTAAAATATTTATAGAAATACAAAAAATACAAAGCACACATTATGATAAAAGGCACCCTAAAGTTCAGTGCCACAGTGATTACCTAACAAGTGCCAGTCCCTGGGCTCAATAGAAAAAAAAAAAATTACAAATCATATGGGTAACCAATTTTCTTCCTTTCCAGTTTTTACTGCAAAGAAGTAACAAAACAAACCCACATAAAGAAAAGATAAAGCAGTTGAAACTAGCCCACAACAGTACACAAATACATTAAAATAGCAAAGTCCACCTGAATTTCACGAGTGCACAATAGTTGGAGCTCACTAGAGACAAAAAATACTATAGAGAAGGCAAATATAACTTCCAGAAATGTTAAGTTTGGGTAGAATAACACACTTCTAGGGCTTAACAGCAGATTAGACTTTGCATAAGAAAAAATTAATAAATTTCAATATATAACACAAATTATGCAAAATGAAATGCTGAGAAATGAATGGAGTTAAAATTTAACAGAGCACCAGTGAACTGTAGGACAACTTTAAGTGGACAAATAAAGTGGAATTCATAGTCCCCACCAAAAGAATGAGAAACAATATAGGAAAAAGAAATCCAACTGAAAATGAATTTCAATCCAAAAACTATTAATCAGCAGGCCCAAGATAGCAAAACCTTTGGATGCAAACTCTGTTTAAGTGGAAATGTATGACAATATGTTTTATTATCAGTACTTGAAGATACTGTCTTCATGCTATACTCTATCATGAACTAACTGTAATGGAAATACAGGAAATCTGAAGAAAATAACAAGACATATCTTAATCAAATTGCTTCAGATAAGAATTGACAGGAATTATTTTTCAGCACGAAGGCAGTATAAAGACTTTTTCAGACAATCAATAGTGTGAAGACTTCACTAGTTAATCCAAAATAAAAAAAGATGTTAACGGGACCCCTTCAACTCAGAAGATAAATTATACTACCTATGCCAACCTTATGTGAGTTTTCCTGGTAACTTACATTTCTTCAATGCAATAGCTGTTTAAACAGAAAGAAAATAATGTGTTACGGCATTTTAGCACATGTCCAAGGAAAATATATGCAAATAATAGCATGAAAGCTAGGAAGGGAGAATGGTCATATATTACTATACATTTAGAATGTTGCATGTGAGGTGATAAAACTCACTTGAAGCCAGACAATGATAAAATATTACAACATAAACCCCAAAGACATCAAAGACAAAGATACATAGCTAAAACACTCAGAAAACAGATAAAGTGGAATAACAAACTAGTCAATGTATCCAACAGAGGCAGATAATGAGGAAAACTGGAAAAACAGGAAACAAAATGGTAAAATAATAGGATTAAACTCTGCTATATCCGTGATCATCTTAAATTAAATATGTAAATATTCTGTTAAGTGACAGTTTTTCATTTGAAAATACAAATGAAAAATAATGAAATGTCTCTACATGCCTACTAGAAAAACGTAACTGAAAGCCAGAAAAGCAAGCAAACAACAACAATAAACTGGCAAAGCTGTTTGGATGCAGAATAATGAACCCTCATATATTGCTTGTAGTTATACGAAGTATATGGTTAGTTGGAAAACCGTCTTGAAGTTTCTTATAAAGTTAACATGCCCGTACCGTATGACATGTATCCTACTTCTATATCTTTCCAAGGAAAATGACAATTTCTGTTCACATTAAAAACCTGTGTATAAACATTTATGATATCTTTATTCATAGAAAATAAAAGCAATCAACAAAAACATATACTTTCTAGCTTTTGGATGATAAGGATTTGTGATAGGTACATCTATGCAATGGAACATATCTGTCAGCAACATCCTATCGATACAAGCAACAACATGGCTGAGTATAAATATATGCGACAAAGTGAAAGAAACCACACTTCAAATGCATTATATCCCATAGTTCCATTTGCATAATATCTGCAAAAGTGGCAGCCAAAGGGTTGGACTGGGGAGCAGGTTGAAACCCAAAAGGCAGTTTTAGAGAGGTTTCGTGACTGATAGAAATGGTCTGAATGCTAATTGTAGTTATAGCTATGACTCTGCATTTATAAAATCCATAGAACTACACGCCAAAAACAAAACAAAAATGCTACTACTAAGTAATGTTTTTACCAAGTAGCTCGAGTCAAAGATATTTCTTCAGAAGTCACTCTAAATCATTTCTCTTCTGCATATTTCTGTCATAATCTCAGAGTTCTAAGGTTGTACTTTACCAGAATTGCCTGGAAAGAGTGCTCTATTGTAGTATCTATCACATTTGTAACAGAGAGATAATAATTTATTGAACATATGCAGTTCAATGTGGACCATAGGACATCACAATTTTATAATTCCCATTTCCAATAATTTGGCAATGTTAACTGTCATTAATTGCATATTATATGTGTAGACAGTTCTAAGTAAGAAAAGTCACTAGACAGTTGCAACATTATGTAATTAATTAAACTTAGAGTCTGTTTTAATCCAAGCTTGTGTTAGCACCAGAAGCAGAATGTGAGGAATTTCGCTAAACACCCACAGAATATATTTTAGTTCCTCTAAGTAGAAACAATTGCATTCATTTTTTAAATTCAGTAACTTCATAGTCTATCCACAGTTTTTATTCCACACCAAAATTAAATTTACATATGTCTTTATATTTTACCCTGGAATATATCTCATTGACTTCTCTTTCTGACAATGCATGTGTGACAATTTTTACAGCATTTATCCACGTAAAACATGAGTAAGTAGACAAGTGAGACAAATATAACAGTGAATACATATTTATTTTTCTCTCTCCTTGTAATACGTGGCTTAAAAATAGGAAATATACTTTAAGACCAACACTCAAAGGTCTGAATATCCTGAGGTTAAGGGCAGATGTGAAAATATTCCCCCTCCTGATGTGTCTTCTATGCAAGGAATTATTTACAATGCAAATAGCTGTCTGTGTATAGATATTCGTTGTTTATTAAAACACATTATTCATTTTTCACAACAAAATTGTGAATAATCCAAAAATAAAGAAATAAAATTTAATATTCCATAAAACATGTAATACAAAGTAGCCATTAGCTTACAATTTTAAAAAAAAAACTGTTTTATAACTTGGTCCAGTGTAACACAGGTTAGCTACATTGTGTTAATCTTTTTATCTTTGTAATTCATAAACCTTTGAAGCTATTGTAATAAATAATATGTGCCATTCTATAAAAGACCCTGCTTCTAACCTACATAAATTCATGACTCAAAAATGTGCTTACAATAAGGTATTTAGTGGTCCTTTAGTTGAAGGCTTATATATGAATTAAAATTTTCCAGAAATTCTGTGGTGAATAATTGCATGTGTTAACCTGTGAAAAACTTAAGATTGAAAAGTAATAGCAACTAAAAACAAAAAAGGAAAAAAATGAAAAACAAATTTAAAACCTCAAGAAAGTTTGGTTTTGGATTATTGTAAAGTTACATCCTAGCTGAAAAACTTACACGTTATTTGCTATCACTGAATTTATGTCTCCTTATTAAACAATAAATAAATAAATACTTTATAGAGTTGTGGTAAGGGTTGTAAAAATAGTATGGAATATAATAGGTGGCATATTTGTCTATCATTAGTTATCTAGAAAGAAGTTCACTCATTTAAAAATTATCAAACATGTTATTAATTTGGATATACAATGTTTTCCCTGTGTGTCACATGTGTTATCTGAAACATAGCTTATCTTTGATAGCATTTTTTCCTTATATATTAGATCCTTAATGTAAAAAGGTTAAATTTATTTTATGCAAAAGATATCTGACAATAAAATTTACCTGTGAAATGAAATTGCTAATTGATGCAAATTTCCTTTTTCAAAATGTCTCCTTAGCTCACTATGGTCACTGTATGTTCAACAACTTTTGTGCGTGAAGGTATTTATCACTGCAGTTATCAGAATTATAAAAGTGAGTAAAATTTGGGTAATGTGTTGAGAAAGTGATAGTAAATATGGCCTTTTCAAGACACTAGAATTAAAATAGGAATGAAATTTAAAATTTCACAGAGGCATTGAAAATAAGAAAACGCATTTATTGATTATCTTAAGAAACTGAAAAATCTGTTTTCTATTATCATCATGGTTAGTGTGTTGCTTAAATTTTATATTTATAGAGATAGGGAAGTATAAAGAGAGTTAAATTGAGTGCTAATCAGGGTTGCAAATAAAAATGGGGAAATACAGAAAGAAAATGTTCTTTATGCACAAGAAATATTGATTATTAGATAGATTTATATACATCTTAATATACATCTTTTTCTGCACTGAGGATTGAATCCAAGGCCTTTGCACTGAACCAATTCTCAGTGGGTTTTTTAAAAAAAATTTTGTGATACCATCTTTAAAATTTGCTAAATTGTCCAAAATAGACTCAAATCTTCAATCTTCAAAACTTTGCCTTCCAAAATGCTAGGATTCTTACATATATGTCATCGTATCTGGCTTATAATGTACTTCTAAACAAATTTCACTTGAGACTGTTATTAATGATTGGGTGTTTTGTAATGTATCAGTCATCTTTCCTGTTCTGACACACAGAATTTGACAAACACATCTGATGCTGAGTTATGCATAATTTTATTGCTGTTCTGTGTTTTCCTACTCATGGGATCTTGAGTGATAAGAAGAGTATTAATAAATGTACATAAAGAATAGATTATTCTTCATTCTTATCTCTTTCCCATGTTTGAGATCATTCTAGAGTAAAGTTAATTGGTAGAAAAGGAATCCTTTAAATTCTAGAAACAGAAGCTGCAAAACTACAATCTTTAGACTTCTTTGTTCATATCTAACATCTTTACATTCTGAAAGAAACAGCGAAAATCTTGGCAGTGATGTCAGCCTAAAGAGCTTTCAAAATACAAATAATCCTGCTGTAGTATGTATGCCATAGGCTCACCATCCCTGGACTAATGTAATATGATGATGCTCTAATCCTCACTTTCCCTATGTTTGGGGAATTGTTAATATGATTTCTATTCTTATAAGCAGTTGAGTCTTTCTACCTTAAAAATAATAAACACCGAGGTCAGTTGAAGACTGACAATGTTTATACTTGGTAGCTTACATCATTTAAGGGATTACTTATCCAAATACCATTATGTACTTTGGTAGGCAATGGTAATGGTAAATGTTCCTACCAAAAATGTCCATTTATTTTGGCATTTGGGAATGTATTGCAATCAAAGGTGAAGGGCAATGAATGGATGTTTGTCTAATAATGGCATTTTATTTACTTTCACATGTCTAAACATTATCATTCCAAAAGTTACACAATGACTTACACTTCAAAAGTTTCCCCAATTTCTCTGTTTTGATACAGATTTCATCTAAATGTATATTCTTATTATTTTTAATATCACAATTTCTTACTTAATATATTTGATATTTATAGGAAAGTAATTGAAAAAGAAAATATATAAATACAAAGAGAAATAAAAAGGAAGCAACACAGTCAATCAAAGAAAAACACTTCAAGTAATCCACAGTTTTTATGAGCGATTAGCTGATACATAACTACCAGAACAACTCACATAGTCGAACTGACAAATGACAAAGTCATAAAATAGGCCCTTCACACTTTGATAGGGTTATTCCTGAAATGTGAATTCTTCTGTAGCAAATATGTACTTCGGTACCATGACTGTAATGAAAACTGGTCTGGAGGACACCAAACAAAGAAGAGTTCATTGAATGGGCTGAAAATTTCTTTCAGAAACACCTAGCTTCAAGACAATGGTTCTCAGACCATCATGATGATATCATATTTTAATAAGCATGAAGACATGTTAATACAGAATGTTATTACTGACAAATCAAGGCAGAAACCTGTAAAAGTAAAGTGTAAAGAGCCACCTTCTCTTCACGCTGCTGTAGTGTATATTAAGAGTTTCCCTACTGTCCATATATGTATTCTTGGGGCTAACTCTGCTCAGTGATCTATGTAATAACAGACTGTTACTTTCACAACTGAAAGATAATGAAGTTAGGAGAAGAAAATGACTGTAAGACCATCAGAAGTCACCAGGATTTCCATCTTCTGTGAGCAGTGTTTCATTTTAGAGGTTTTCACTATGATACTTCAACTAAAAGATTCTATTAAGGAACTTTCAAACACTCTGAAATTATATTATATGAAAGAAATTACTGATAAATGTCTAAGGTACAAATTTATCTCACTTTTTCACTTTAATTATGTCTTATGGAATAATAAGACGTTTTGTTCTTGTTTGGATAATCTGTTTCTAAAATAAAGCATGCAAGTCAAAAAATGTACTTATACCTTTATGACATTCTACTATCTCTGCACAAGACATTCTAAAATGAATAATAAACATATTTAATACATGCATTTTAAAACTATTTTTAATAAAGAAATATTTTCAGGTTTAAGATAACATGTTGACAAAATTTTTCACTTTCTTACCTTTCTGGATATGTAAGAGATTTTAACATGAGACGCTGGATCCTGTGTTTGTTTGTGGGACACTGGATATTTGAAGTCTGGAAATATCTCAAAACAATGCTTGAAATATTCACAACATCATTCAAAAATTGAGCAAGAATATTGACTTCTTGAAGTTTATGAAATGGTTTGCTTTTCCTAAACAAAAAGTTGATATTTTCAGCATGCTAATAATTTTAAACTTACTTAATCCTAAAATCAATATGATGCTAATGAGGCAGCATAAATAGAACAATCCCAAAGGAAAACTCCAATCAAAATATAAAGAATTCGATAATTTATTTAATTGGTAATGTAAGAATGACTTTACAAAAGGAAAATTAATACTAACATTGCTTTCCTTCCCATAGAGAAATATCTGGGGAAGCTCACGTGGCTGCCACACTGAGCCCTGCTGTCCTCGGAAGCCCCTGCCCAGCCCTCTACTGGCTTGCACCCCAGTCTGTTCTGGAATTTGTATCTGTAGTCATTGTCACATGCCATAATGGGCAGATTTGGGGAAAAACCCACTGATTTAGAAACAGAAATTTTTCATTGACTCAATCTTTCTTTATTGTTTTACCTATTATTTATTATTTTTTTCCTTTATTGAATTCTTTTCTCCCTTTAATTTCCTTTTTCTCCTGTTCTCTTTCCCCTTGAACTTTCTTTCTCTTCTTTTATATCTTTATTTACTATATTTTGCTTTGTTTACCTTTTTTATTCTTTTTGTTCTTAATTCTTTCTGCCAACTGTTCTCTATCACAGTGAATTTCCTTTCAGTTCTCACTAGGATCTCGTCTCACTTTTCTCTCTCCTTCTCATATCTCATTGATCGATCTCTCAAATTTTGCTTTTTTTCATTCTCTGGTTCCCTACCTCCTCTACCTTTACCAATACACCCAGTAAGCATTTTGAATCTCCAGGTAGCTAGTTTAACTTACACTATTATTATTGGATGCTTTTGTTCTGCTCAATTTGGGTGATATTTACTGTAGCTCAATCGTAAGTCAATGTTGGTTTGTCTTACTGTTCGTACAGTAATTATTCTCTTTTGTATGGCTAAGGGTTTTCCTATCATTGGTCCATAGGACTTGTAAATGCTCAGTTGGTATCTAATGCTGTAATTGATACTGAAATTTTATCATAACAAAGTAATGTATGTTTAGCTATTAATTGGTTTTCTTAGGATGCCAATATCTGGATTGCATTGCGCATTAATAATACTACGGCCTATTTTTGGAGAAGAGTACTGGAAAAAATCCATTACAATCTCCCACCCCAGTTAAATAGAAGTGGTTAGAATCTAAGAGAGAAGCAAATACCAATGGTTAACAATATCCAGAGGACACCACTGAAAAGTAGACACTAAATTAAAAAGTCTGCAAGTAGAAACAAGGGAGCTTTCCACTACAAGCAACATAAAAAAATAAACAAATGCACAAAATAAAAAGTAACATGAGGAAACAAGTCGAAAATTATCCTCAACATTTCTCAAATCTCCAAAAGTTGATATGTGTGGCATCAAAGGGAAGGAAACCAAAGCCCCACACCCAAATTATTTGAAATTATATAAGGGGAGATAGTAAACCACATCAATAAGGAATTTGACAAGTTGTTCCAAATAAACAATGATCGACAAGTATGAAAAGACACTAAAAAAAATTAATAAAGCTAAGCAAAATAACACAAAACATGAATGACCAGTTGGGAGTTTAGCTTAGCGGCACAAGCACCTGCCTGGCAAGCGTGTGGTCATGAGTTCAATCTCTAGACCTCCTTTTTCTCTCCCCCACCAAAAAAACACAAATGGTCAGAATAGAAACAAATTAAAGTCCATAAAAATGTTTCAATTTGAAATTCATGAGGTTAAAACTTCTAACAAAGGTATGGGCTTCAGACATAACCAGTGTGAGACCAGAATATCAGAACTAGAAGACAAGGCTGATATTCATGACCAAATTAATGAGATATACCTCAAAAATTGCAAGAGAATATGAAAAATAGATTCAGCACCACCTAGATCCTTCAAAATAGGCTAAGATTAATTGTCATTAGCATAAAATCAAAAGATAGGAAAAATGGCATTAAAAACTGTTTACTGAAATAATAGCAGAAAACTTTCCAAGTAAGGGAATAGAATTTAACATACCTATACTGAGGCATATAGAATCCCAATAGACACGATCATAAAAGAATCTCTCTATGACATATAGTAACAATCACAAGAGTCCAGCAGAATAATACAACCTTCAGCCAGGCATGGTAGCACATGCTTGTAAGTCCAGTACTTGGGAGGCTGAAGCCAGAGGATCTTTGCAAGTTTGAGACCTGCCTGGGCTACAAAGTGAGCTCAAGGCAAGCCTGAAATGCATAGTGAGATCCTGTCTCAAATAAAATAAAATAAAATAAAATACAATAAAATAAAATAAAATAAAATCTTCAAAGCAGATGAGAAAATAATAAGTCACTTATAAAGGTGAACCTATTAAGTTCCCATCACAAAACTTGAAGGCTAGGAGAGTTTAGGGTGAAGTTTTTCAAATCTTAAGTAAACAGTCTCCCATCCAGGCTGATATTTTCTACAAAGCTATCTCTTAAATTAGAAAAGATATTTTCATGATAAAGAGCATCTTTAAAAATGCCTGACCACCAAACAAGCACTCCAAAAAAAAAAAAAAATCCTGAAGAATTTTCTAGAAAGAAACAATGATTCTAATAATAAAAGGTCTAACAGAATGAGTACATTGGGTAATATCAGCAGAAAGTAGCAATTCTTCATATGAATACAAAAGTAGTATTCCTCAGAATTCTCTGAGGATTCTTGTCTGCAATAATGTTCCTTTTAAACTCCTTATTACTCATTCATTTGGGTAATATTTTAACCTATTACCCATTTGAGTACTATTTGCATGCAATATTGATGTTTCTTCTTTAAAATCTTATATTACACATTAATTTATTTTATCTCATATTATCATGTCTAAGTCATTTGTTGTCACATAGGAAAAATGACAACAAAATGGAATTAAGTGCAAAACCCAGGACACAAAACAAATTTTCAGAAAGATTCTAGTACTACTAAATAAAGCATATTGTGTGTGCACAGAGTCATGTAAAAAAGTAACAACAAGAAGAGGTGGAAGAAGAGGAGAAAGAGGACCAGAAAGAGAAAAAGGAGGGAGAAGAATGATTATGAATCAAAAGGTGACAATGAGTATTGGCAGTTGGTATAATTACAAGTGATATTTATTTTCTACTCTATAATATACATTTCCTACAGTAAGAAAATATTTCAGTTTTGAAGAGAAAACAAAAGATCACTTAATAAATTATCTGATTTATCTAGTATCAAAAAGACAGTTCAAATCTCAAATAGTTATTGATAGAAAGCAAAACTATAATAACTTGCATTTGAAAGTAACTTCTGTTTATTTCCTTATTACACTTCTTTACTTTCAAACATTTCCTTGTCATTCCTTTGTGTGCCTTAAGTTAAGTGATATCCTACCATAAAATTTAGTACACAGAGATACAATTATCCTTTAATGATTTCCAGTATGTTGAATCTCCTTGTGAAAATAATAGTCTCTTTTAGTCTAAGTCTCCATGTTTTTTAAAATGTCTCCATAAGCTTAGTGATCAATAGTGTGTTAGATAAGTGAATTAATTCATAAGATAATGGATTTTTGTAGTCAGGGGCTGAAAGGAGACTAATTACATACAGACCACAGCAGTGCTATTATTTAAGATGGTAATCCAGAGATAAACAGAAGAAGGTATAGGAAATCTGTCCACAACACCAAAGACCTACAAATCCAGTCAAGGGCCTGGAACCCATAGCAATGTCCTGCATGAGTTCAGCTGAAGACTGAGTGCCAATGACAGTGTCTCCCATGAGTCCTAATGGAGGCCTAATGCCACAAAAATGATCCGTGAAACTCTGTTTTACAGATCTGCACTGGGAAGTCCCAAACGTCAATGGTGGAAGTTAGAAAGTCTATGCCAGCAGGGTGAGGGATCTGTGCTCACAGGTTGAGTGTTCTGTTGTGAAGCCAAGAAGCAACGCTCAAAATAAGGACTAGGGCTCCCCCTAAATGTAGCACAGTCATCCCCAGCATCAATGAGGTCCTAAACTCTTCCCACAATGAGAACAGTTGAGTACATGTCAGAAAGCCAGCATGACATACTTTTTTTTTTTTCCATTTCCTTAGAGAGCACTTTTGGGGATTGTATATTTTTTTTATTTATTACTTTATTTGTTAATATTAAGAAGAAAAGGTAAGACAAATTTTCACAACAAAATAATGAAAAAATAACAATTGTTGATAAATTACACAACATTATCTTTAGTCACTCAAGTGCAAAATATGGGCATAAAAATTTCTTCAATCAATATTAGCACAACCTTTCAGTGAACTAAGTGACACTAATGGTATAACTAACTTGCATTTTTTTTTCTTTTCCCTTCTATCCTTTCTCTTTTCCCCTATCTTAGTTTCTTCTTTTTATTGAACAGTTTCCTTCCATTTCACAGTGACTATTGTATATTTTGAACCTTATGGTTTCACATATGTCACTGTGGTGTGATGTTTTTCAGTCCTTCTGGGAAGGTACACAGAAGGGGAATACCTGGGTTGAATGGGACCTCTAATCCTAGTTTTTTGAGGAATCTCCACACTGATTTCCACATTGTTTGTACTAATCTACTCTCTAACCAACAGTTGTAAAGGGTTTCTTTTTCCCTACAGAACCAGGAGCATTTTTTAATGGTTTATATATTTTTTAAAAAATTAAATGATTTTTAATGAATAAGGGAGAGGATGAGATAAAAGGGGGCATAACAACATAACAATACAGGTTAAAGCATAACACTTTCAGCAACCTAGTGCTTCATACTTTTAATAGTAACATGCACATTTATATCGTTCTTTTATTAAACAGAAAATGAATTTCCTACTCTAAAAATTTATTAAACACACAAACATTCAAGAAAGTCAAACTGAAAATATGGTTTGAGATGATTAGATAAACTTAAAATGTATATTTAACTACACATACATGAAAAGAAAATAGAACATGGAATTTCCTCCCCTATTGTTTGGGAGCTTTGTGGCTGAGAGTGGTTCTCTGAAATACTAACAGTGTGTTACTCTACTTTAATTAATGTCCTTAAATTTGTATTAACATCACTGTGAACATGAGGCTGACTGAAAACTGGAGAAATTAAGAAGGCAAAACGATTAAGAAGAACACTAGAATTAAGAATCAAATGATAAGGACTATCATTACTCATAGGTTTCATAGTCACTGGAAACATAAATGAGTTATTTGGACACATATTTATTATTTCCCTCTCTAGAATGGAAGTGCTAGAAGTGACATGAGATCTTTGTAAGATTTAACATCTTAACAATTTCTGAATAGGAATTTTACCTTACTCATAACAGTTTTTAACAGTGTACGAAAAGAAGAAAGGACTTAATTATACTTACTCATAGACTCTTGAATATTCAGCCACTCCGAGCTGGTTTAATACTTTAAATGAAATATAGCCATCATTCATACTTTCATCCAGAGCAGTTATACTGAGAACAAAATAATACGCTACAACATAAGAAAATATATAATTCCACTCACATTGCTTTTTAAACTTTGTTTTGGTAGATACACAAAGACACCTATGTATGTAACCTAGACTTATTTTGTATATGCAAATAATATTATCCAGAAGCACTTATTTAATTAATGCATTATATGGTTTTATTCATGTTTGTCAATTTTTGGTTAGTCTTAAACAAAGAATAAAAATCCTGCCAGTCAGTGATAGGTATGGTGATAATTTGATCAACTAGCTACTAAATCTTAATTAGTCTAAAAACCAAAAACTTGAAAATACATATCAATGAAACAACACTTATTTGTCAGTAACATATAAAAGATAAATATGAAAATATCTCCTGGTAATTTGATTAATAATCCCAGCTACATATGCTTGAAACCATATTTCCCAATTTCAGTGGCTACTGAGAAATTGTGTCTATTTAAACAGCACTAAAAGCAAGTGTCTACTAGTTCTGATTCAAAATGCTTTGATGATAATGTAGTATTATATATATCTACCTTAGACTGTGCCTTCTGCAGAAATCATCTTCATACTCAGTATCACTGAGGCTATACAAGAAGCCCAGACTCTTTGCCAATACAAAATTGTGAACACTAGCTGTGAAATGTCGCCACTATATAGTCAGGAGTGATCTCATGCCTTATGCTTGAGTCTTAGTGTTAATTCGGGTAAGGAAATAAGGTAACGGAATAATAATTAGTCTTTATACATTTCTAACACAAGAAATATAAAGGAACACCTTTAATCCCAAAGTGACTACCCAGTTTTAGACAAAATACTTTGGTCAACCTTACAAATAAAACAGTACAACCTTACAAACAAAACATTCAGTATTTTTCAGGTGATTTCTGGCAGTATGACACTTTGAGATATTCAGAATGAGTCGCTGCTATGTCTTTTCAAGGAAAAAATAAAGAAAATTTCAACAAACAAATAGAAGTTCTGAAAGGAAGCAAAGTAAGTTTTCAGAATGAAAACAACAAAGCAAAGCTCACTGGACATGCACAGTATTAGAGATTATGAAGAATGAAATCAGTAAATTTGAAGAAAAATTAACCAGCTATTCAATATGAACAACAAAGAGAGAATAGATGAGAAAACAGACTAAACCAACAGTGGAGAAAATATTTGAAATATTATTCAAGTCAATGATGGCAGAACACTTTTAATTTCATGAAATAAAGTTTTAAAAAGTTAAGTAATCTCAAATAGAATAAACCCAATGAAATCCTCATCAAGACATATCAAAACTACACTAATAACCAGGAAAAAAAAAGGGAAATATTGAAAGCATCCAAACAAAATGATACATTACATACAAGAGAATGCCAATTTAAGTCACAGTGGATTTTGTCATTTAAAACTCAAGGGTCAAAAGATGCATATTTTTAAGTGTGAAACAAAAAAACTGTAAAATCAAATTTTATATTCAGTAAAATATCATAAAAAGATTGAGAGAGAAATAAAGGCATTATCTGATGAAGAGAAAATTCTAACAGGAGTTCTATTTTTAATGATTAGCAGAAACTTTTTCAAACAAAAATGTTTAATAAGTAAGTTTGAGCATCAGAGAGAAGAAAGAATGGGAAGAGAAAAAACAATACATCATATATTATCCTGTTTCTCATGCAGTCTTACATTTCATCTGATGATTGAAACAAAAATTATCACACAATCTATTGTCCAAGATAATAACTTGAAAAGTGCCATATATAAAAGGGCTTAATGAAAACAATATTTGTATATTTCACTTGAAGGATAAAATGTTAATACCACTGGTCTGTTAAAAATCTTAAATGAATATTGTAAATATGGCAGACATCTCCAAATATTCCTGGAGCCTGATCATATATTGTCTTACATGAAAAGAATAATATTGCAAGTAGAATCAGTGTTGCTAATCATCTGCCCGTAAAATAGGAGATTATCTAGGTTTCTAGGATGGCTCAACATAATCTCACAGGGCCTCTAAAGAGGAAAAAGGAAACGGAAAGGAAAAATAAAAATAGAACACATGATGCAAAAAAAAGGCCAGAGTAATGCAATGAAAATTCAAACCACTATTAAGGAGGAAGAGGTCACAAATCAAGAAATGCAGCCTATTTCCAGAAGCCAGGAAAAGTGATTTTCCCTGGAAGATGCCACAAAGAGATGTAATCCAGCTTACACCTCAACTTTATGATACTAATACTTGTGTCCTTTACCCAGAGAACTGTAAGATCATAAATTTGTGACATGGGGTGGCAATTTGTTTAAGGCAGTGATAGGAAAGGAATACAGATTTTGGTAAAAAAAAAAAAAATTGAATGCTGCTATGGCAAAAGTGAAAATATAATGTTGCTTTGAAACTGCCAATAAGCAGAAGCTAGAAGAATTTGAGGAACATAATAGAAAAACCTAGATTGCCTTGTATATATTGTTAGTAGAAATGTGGAAATTGAAACTATTGTTGAGGACTCAAGAGGTCAGCAGAGAAAATCCTCTCATTGGACTGCTGATAAAAATGTAACGCCTAAGGCAGTGAATATGGACTGGAAGACTGCTGCTTTAGAGAAATTAGGTAAGAAGCCATGTATTATAGAAATATGAAAGAAAAATAACTTTTGCTCTATCACTGCTGATAGCTCTGTGGAATTATCTTCTGAAATATTTTATGAACTATAAATTGTAAATGAAAAAAAAAAAAAAAAAACCTAAATACTATATTGAAGACTTCACAAAAGAATGTGGCCTATTCCCCCACCCCCACCCCCGGGTGCTCCGTGAAATACAATAAGAAAGAAATCAAGATAAAACTACTAAAGGAAAAAGAATCCAGACTTGATTATTTGGGAAATCTTCAGTCTAGCAAGTTTTCAAGAGATGTTAAAATTAAGACAGTTACTTACAGCAAATCATACTTTAGAGAAAAAGCTGTGGGTGTAGTTGGACACTTTCCTTCTGAAAGAACAAAAAGTTTGACTATTCACACAAGGACATTGAAAAATATCAGATGTGACTCACAGATTTCCTCTGCTATCTCAGGAAAAGCTGACAACAGAGATAGGATTGTTAGGAACGGATGATATAAGGAGATCACAAGTGAATCCAGTGACTTCTGCGGAGAACTATGAGAATGTTATAGGAACATAAATACTGCCAGTAACAAATCAAGATACAGGATGATCAAACTACGGCAACTTCAGGCAGAAGAAGCAAGAGAAAGAAATGAGGAGAAGGAGAAGGAAGAAGAGGCAGGCAGCAAAAACATAGAGCTGTGAATCAGATGCATAAAATAGAGGATTTTAAATTAATTGGAATTAGCTTGGCTGGTGAGATTACTGAGGACTGTGGATTTCACATTCCTTCAATTTTATTATTTTTTACAGCTACAAATGAATCTAAAATTAACTCTGTAAAATTATAATTTAACAAGTACACAGGCTCAGTTCTATAAAGCATGCATATTACTCACATTTAATGAATTACAATATCTTGAAATTTTAGTGACGATGGCTCTTTAACATTAACAACAACTGACCTCAAATATATTACTATAATAAAATGTGTTTTAATTATCTGTTCCCCAGTTATGGCATTCAATTTCAATAATCAGAAACTTCCTCATTAGAATTTTCACATAACAGAATTAACTTTTCCTCATAAGCCACCTCTAATTTTTCATTTATAAACAAAATATTTTTGATATCTTTGGTACATCCTCCCGAAGTAATTGATTTAATACATTCATGTGAGATTCTTCCTGTTCTAATTTTTTCCTCTTTTCTAACTGTAAATGTATTAGGAAAATTACTGATTGCATAAATAACAGTACTGAGGTTTATGAACTTAACTTGTTTTATGATTTGGGGGAAGATGTCTGCATTTTTGCCTGCATGGGGAAGATGACTGTGGCTGTGTCTGTCACTAAATGTGGAGTTTGAAAACGGAAGCAAAATTTTGCCAAACACTTTTGTTTGCAAACAGAATTGTTTGCAATAGAAGCATTGATAATGTGTGTTATTACTGTATAAAATATATGTTTTACATTCTGAAGTAGGAGTTAATAAACTATATATATATATATATATATATATATATATATATATATATATATCTGCTTTAGCTTGTATATAGTTGTCCACCCAATCATGTGTTTGTAGGTGTGTGTGGGGAGCGCACTTTTCCGTAGTGGCTGCATGAAGCTTGTAGATGTGGATTATGTGTGGGGAATAACTAGATTAGTCCACTGATTGGATTAGTGTCGTTTTAGGAGTGACTGAATTAGTTTACTGAAGACTGAAAGCACCCTGGTATAAATGGCATCAACTCCCAAATTTTCAGCCTCAATGGAATAAAAAGGGAAAGGGAGGCTCGCTGCTTTTTCTGCCTCCTGCTTGCTGGGTGTCTTGTCATGAACTGTTTCTCCTCAAGCCCTTCCCCTCTTCCATACAGCCCTCCCTTGCACTCAAACCTCTACAAATTATGAGCTAAAATAAATATTTCCTCCTTTAACTTATGTCAGGCATTTTGTTCCACGAATGAAACAAAGTAATTAAGATACCATCTTTGATGTTATATGCTGAAATAACTCTAGAAATGAAGTAACAATGAAATTTGGGGGTGCCTTGATTGTTTATGTTTCCTGTCTAAGTTTCTTGTTTATTACACAAACATCTATTTATTTTATCTAAAAAGAGTTAAATTCTTAGTTGAATTTATCCATCTGGCTCTAAAAAAGCATTATGAAATTTGAGAGGGTACTTAATGGACATTTTGTAGAAAACAAAAATGAATATAAAATTAATAATCTATTAATCTGTTAAAAACATTAACGACTTACCACAGAATGGATATCTTCCACTGGTGTCAAAAAATGTAGTGATCCTAACAGGCCATTTTTTAGTTCTTGTTTTTAAACTATGTTCCCAGTGCTCAGTATAATACTCTGAGATTTAAGAAAATATTAGAAGTTAAATGTCTATTAAATATTGTACAAAACTTTTAAGAAAACAAAGGATCCACATACGTTATAATCATTAACAATATGAATTTGACAACATAAGACGTATGCTTCAAATATTGTAGCATTGTGTTTATTTTAATTACAATTACGAATTTTTTGACACTGTTGAAGATGGAACTCAGGGCATTTTCACTGAGCCCTAGTCTCCATAGTTGGTACTGAACCAAGGGTCCTAGTGATGAGCTACATACATCCCAGACCTTTCTTTGTTGAATTAATTCATTTATTTTGACCTCAGTTGTCACTAAATTGCTCAGGTTCGATGTAAACTTTTGAAACTCCTTCTGTATTCAGCCTCGTGGTCTCTCAGAGTGCTGGGATGACAGGCACGTGCCACTCTGCTCATTATCATAATAAATCTCCAATTAAGATTTGCAAATGAATCCAATCTCTAAAAGTCTTATCAGAGCTTAGCACTGACCATACAGCTAACACTCCATTTGTAACAGTATTTACTACTAAATTCTGAATTCAGAGATTTACTTGTAATTCTTTTTAGTAAAATGATTACATAAAACTTGAACATAAAATTTAGCTCCATCAATAGAGTTCCCACTTTTTCCATGCATGCATATGTATAGATATACTAGGTATATGTATATTATATGCTGTCTGTCTCACTTTATATATATATATATATATATATATATATATATATATTTATGCAAAAATATTTATATATTATATATTGTATATTATTTATATATTATATATAAGTACCTAAAGAATAAGTATTATATATTCTCACATTAATAAAATTTAGGTATTACATATGCATACAGTAATACTTCATTTGGTGAATGGTTTTATTTGCATACAATTCTGTTAACAAACAAAAGCACTTGGCAAAATTGTGTTTCCATTCACTAAGTACAAGTTGGGTGACAAACACAACAATAGGCATCTTCTCCACACAAACACAAATGCAGTCATCTTCCCCCAAACTGTAAAACAACTTAAGTTAAAAATATCAGGTTCTGCCAGACATATATGAATAACGTTATTTGCTTCAGATGCTTCTTTGTGCCTAAATTTTGTTTTTGAAAATTTGAGACTTGAACATAGTAGAAAAGACCATAATTTAGAATTTGGAAGTATAGCTCTAGTTCTTATGTTCTTAAGCAATTCATATATTCATTGTGTCATATACAAGAAAGTGATGGACCAGAAAAGCAATCCTCAAATGAGGTCTGAAGAAAATGAATCCCATCATGTTCCACGGACAGAAGACAGATGTGAAAATATACATGTGGCAAAACCTGAATAGTGCATACCTCATCTAGAGATTTTCTATGTGTGCTAATATTTAGTTTTGCTGGAAAAAAATGGTTTAATTGGTTTAAAATGGTTTAAAAATGGTTTAATTCAGGCTTTGTAATTAGTACGCATTTCCAGAATTAGTTTGACCTTGGAAGATTTCTGGAAGATTTTTCTGTGATGCTGACAAGATGTTTTTGTGCTTATGGCATTCTAGGGTATGATACTGTCTTGAAAAACACTGAACGGTCTCAAGATTATTTCCAGTTTGACCATTCTATTTTTATGTGTGTTCCTTTTTATCTATAATTTCCCACCGGTAGACTTTCACATTTAGAAGCTAATTGTTTAACTGCTCTTACCAAGGTTTATTAATTTAGATGGTGTGAACCATGTATGATTTATGGCTGCTTATTGATAGCAAATGAAAAGTTGCCTATGGTACACACCTCCTTATTTGTTCCAAAGACTTCCTGTTTTTTTTTGTTTTTATTTCTTTTTTTAAGAAAAACTGCCAATCCTGCAAAAAAAGGTGCAATTTTTCTTCTTTAATTGGAAATACAAGTATATGATAGTTACATTCTTCTGAATATCAAGGACAGAAATCATGATTAGGTCACTGGAATTTGTCCATTATGTTCAGCATAAAAAGAAATTGAAACCCCTTTCATTAAAAACCCTACACTTAGTCAGAAATAAAATATGTACTCTGTACCATATTTCCACACAAAACTTTGTTTTCTGAGAGTATCTCCCTGTGTAGCTCAGACTGGCCTTGAAATCAGAGCAATCTTCCTGGCTCAGCCTCCTACTTGCTGGAATGATAGGTGTGTGCAACCACACCTATTTCTGCAGATGATTTTTCCATAAAATATTAACACATTAATAAGTTTAAAGCATAATTTGGCTTTCAGCAGCAAATGCTAATACAATTATGTTATTCGTTTCCATTCTAAAAACATTTTTGTTAGTGTATATTTGCAAATACATTGTGATAAATTTATATACATGCATAAGGAATCTTGATCCATTTTATTTCCCACTTTCCACTCTTCCCTCTGTTCTCCCCATCATTCTCAGATCCCCTTCCAATTTTTGAAAGTCTATTCATTTTCAAAATGAATTATAGTAATTAATTCTCTTACCTAGCCTAGGGCATGAATTTTTCTGAGAGCTGCCACAGTCCACACATAAACTAGTCTTGTAATCCTTGTATGAATGACAAGGAAATGAAACAAAACTGCAGTTTGTTTGCAAAGCTGCCATGAACAAATAAACTGCTCTCTGGTGGTCACATTTAATATATTCTATTCCTTAAGGGTGAAAAGACAAGCAAAAGAGCTAAAGCTGTATTAAACCAACGTCAAGTAAAGAAAAATTTAAAATGAATTTCTACTAAATTATGTGTACTCTGTGAATATGAAATTGTTAACTGCAATACAAAGGTATATTTTGAGACATTATAGATAATAAGATTGCAAAGTTAAATTTACCATGCTTTTCCCACGAAATTAACAATATATTTCCATAAGGTAATAATGTTTAATGAGAAAAAACATTTAATTTCAATAATATAACATGAGATACAAAGACATGATAGTATACTTAATTAACTAACTTCTAATTCCACATCCCTAAGATTTTTAAGTCAATATCAGAGATGCTATGGAAGCAGAATATCTATGCCATTAAAACACCTCCCTGCCTTTCCCCTACCTATCTCATTCTCATTCTTAGTCCTTTGATCAAATTTCTCTGCCTGCAATGACTCTGGTTATGTATTATGTTGACCAATGGCCACTATGGAGCTGAGACCACTTCTCGGTTAAGCTCTGAACTGAGTGAGTGCCTTTTGTTGGAGCAGCTGTTGGACGGGGAGGAGTGGCTCTGTTATATCTATGAACAGGAAAAATCAAGGTTCAAGAGTTTACAAATTTGTGTTGCACAGTAATATGATAAGGGTAAATGTGAAGTGTTGAGGTAATAGTTTTGTGACGTTAGCTACTTGTGCTCCTTCAGTGACTTAAAACTTTTAATGCTTAAAATGTCGAAAACTAAAATTGTTGAAATCATGACAAAATGAATAGGTCTCATCCATGAAAAAACCGTTAACCCTCATGAATTCAGTATTCATATTAAACTATTTCTAATCACTAGCTCTTCAAAACAAAATGAAACCAAAACATTTCCCACAGGTTAGAAGAAAATAATTTATTTTATTCCTCCATTTTGAAGCTTCTGTAATTCATTGGAAACACTAATTGAATACCTGAAAAAATTGATGTAGGACAGCCAGGTTGGTTTTTTCCTCCGTTTGGATAAAAATCTATATGTCCCAATGGCTCTTGAATACCTAAACCTAAGAAGAAAAGTTCCCAAGAATCATGAGCTGTATGTAGTTATCTTAGCAATACTTGAATAAACCAAGTATCCTATACAATCTGTGAAAACTACTCTTTAAAATTTTGAATTGGTGCTGGGGATTTAGCTCATTGGCATAAGTGCCTACACAGCAAGCATGAGGTTGTGAGTTCAATCCCCAGTACAAAAAAAAAAAAAAAAAAAAAAAGTTTTGAGTTGAAAATAAAATTAAAAGCTACACTTTTAATTATGACTTTTCTTATATTGGCTTTCCAAATTAACTATTCATGAAAATTATATTTCATTAATTTAATATATTTAGTAATGAACAATTTATGAGTCATTTATTGTTATTTGTGCTATGAATGAATAAATAAAAAAACTAACAAATATTTGTAATGGCAAATACTTTCTAGTGAAAGTAGGCTGTAATAAATAAGACCAATACTATAATACTCTATGTCAGATAATAATAAGCACTATGAAGAAAATTAAGGGGAACAAGAGAAGAGAAAAAACGCCTAAGGACATTGATAGTTGGCTGTGGCATTTCCCACAGGGAAGGTTGTATAGTTAAGCAAAGATGCAAAAGAATAAAGTGGATATGTGTGTAGATGAACTTGAGGTAGGGTAGCAGGAGCCAAATATATTAGCAAGATCATGGGAAGAAAAAAAATCAAGTAACATTTTAGGTCACAGCGATGATGATCCCCTTACTTTGACTATCTCAGACCTCTTGATGTCAGATTCCCTAATTTGTAAAATCTTTAGAGTATACTACTTCATCTGGAGCAGCCTGGGCCAGAGTGGCTTACAATATCCACCTATGATTTATAGGCTTCTGTGAATACAGTTTTGAGGCATTAGTTGAGATTCAAGTTCCCAATTCATTACCACTACCCAATCTGTAACCCAGTAAAGCTGCAGAGTGAAAAAAGGCTACTAAGGTCAGCATAGTGAGGATTATAATGGCATGTAAGATCTTGCTACCAATAAGATTGAACTGCTTGAATTAACGTACAAATTTCCAAAACAATAAACCCTCAAGAGTAATGGACAATAGTTTTGGCATAACAAAGATAAATACTTGCATCTGAAAGGATTAAACGCAATAATGTGATTTAGTTTTCGTAATAAACTGAATACAGTAATGTCTAATGAGGTGTCAGACGGATATGAAAGCACATAAATGTTATGTGAGTAGGGGACAAGAGGTTAACATACAAATAAAAATAAAAAACAATTGGGATGATTTCATTCAAAGCCATAGAATTATGGGTAGCATATATGGAATTTGACTGTAGCAATATTCAATCTCTTTATACTCCATAATCCACTCAGCAAGAAATGGCATGTTCTGAATATGACCAAATAAGAAGCACAACAATTCTGGAGCTCTCTGAAATTGTTTCATGTCTCAACTTGAGTTTTTGTCACAGCATTTGTTTGAAAAGGCTATTTTCTGATATTAGGTAAGCTGATTAAATGATATATATTATATACTATTTTAATGAAATAAAATTCAGTTTTAAATAGCTTTTTAATAATAAGTTTACTTTTTATATGTCCCTGAATTAGTTTACTAATGTAATATTTTTGTAGGATTTTGACATGTAATTATAATAATGCTACAAATGTTCACTCCTCTAATGTCTTTGTTACATTTTGATGTTTAGTTTATGATGGTCTTAAAAGGCTTATAAAAAACTATCCTCTTTATTTGTTCATTTGAAAATATGTGAAAGGGATTTTTTTTGGGGGTGGGAGAAAGAACACAATCTGCCTGGTATTTTGTCATAAGGTTTTAAATTGAGGTTTTATTTCATTAATATTCACAAAATTAGTTAAATTTTCTGTCTTAATTTATCAGTTCTGGAAAGTTCTTTTTACTTTTTAATAAGAATTTGGTTAATATTTATATGATGTAGATCCTTATCTCTTAGTAGAGTGTCTTAGTTACTTTTCTTTCATTGCTGATACAAAATACCCAGCACCTAAAGTTAAAGGGGGAAAGGTTTATTTAGATCACAGTTTGTAGAGGTTTCAGTGCCTCATTGGCTGGCTCCAAAGCAGGATGGCTTGGCAGATATGCATTGCAGAGGACAAACATGTTGTTCATGGCAGTCAGAAGGTAGCAAAAGAAGCAAGAAATAAGACAAGAGTCTTTCTGTTTCTTATATCCAAGATACCAGGATTAGGGTGGTCCCAAACTAATTAGTGGGCTGATTTTGTATTCAACCACCCTTAATAATAGCACCCATAAACCTTGCATTGAACCATGAATCAGTCACACACTGTATTCATTCACCTCTGACAAAGGTAAATACTTGCGTCTGAAAGGATTAAACACAGTAATGTGGTTTAGTTTTCGTAATAAACAGAATACAGTAATGTCTAATGAGGTGTCAGAGGGATATGAAAGCACATAAATGTTATGTGAGTAGGGGACAAAAGGACTAGACCATATGACCTTTGGGGGAACATCTAGATACAACCTGTAACAGAATAGTAATCTTACTACCAGTAATATTTGTAACTGTACAGACTTTTCATTACTAAACTACTGAGTTTCCTCTCTTTGCCTTATTTTTTGTCTCCAAGGATTTACTGATTTTTGAGGAGTGAAGCATTCTTTTTCTTTCAATATGTGGAAAAAGGCAAAGATGGCACAAATCCAATTTTTAAATTAATTCATATTTTCCATATATTGGGTTTTTCCATATTTCTATATTTTGTGTGCATACTATTTGCTTCTTTCTCCATTATTAAGCATTTATTTCATGTTTAACTGTTAATTATTCAAGAAAGATAGATGCTTCTGTTATTTATATCTAATACTTTAAAGAAGAGTATTAACAAATATATTTGGTTCTGGTCATGGTTTTTGCTTAATAATAAATTTTAATGTGTACCAAATTTAATACTCTTAGTTCAAAGTATTTTAATTTTCATTATTACATATTTTTATTAGTTTCTCATGTATGCATCTTAATTTTCAAAAGTATATTACTTTTCTAGTTACATTTTTATTTACTGCTGGCAGAGATGCATTAATGGTAGAAAATATGGCTCTCTATGGCTCCCTTTAGAATTTTTGACAACATCCCTAAAATCTAGCATACGCTGACATTCTATAAAATAGCCAAGGGTGCCTGGAGTGATATATGCCTTTGTTGTAATCTTTCTATTTTTAGTATTAGTTCCACAGCAGCCCAGATACAGTGTTCATTTTCTTTCTGCCTGCAGAATAGCCTTTCTTTTTATGGTGATTTCTCTCTGTTTATTTTTGTCTGAAACAAAATATATAACATTTTAATTCCAGAAATACATTTGCATACCACCTTAGCAGTTATTCTTTTGTAGTGTTGAACTTGACATTCCATTATTTCCTGCATTTTATTATTTGTGTTTACAATGCAGTTGTAAGGCTGATAAACTGTGTTAATCTTATTTTAAAAGGTAAGCTTTGATAGTAATCTTTTCTGCCACTCTACTATCTTGTCCTCTTTATCTGATTTGAATGAACTGGAGATTTTCAATTTGCAAATTGATTATATGTCTTTAATTTTGGGAAACTCTGAGTTAATATTTCTTAAACTATGACTCCTCTTTCATCTCTCTCTACTTTTATTCTAGGATTCTAATTAAACATGATTTATCATTTCACTGTGTAGTTCAGACAGCTCTTTGATCTTATATTACTTACTTTTATATTCATTTGCCTTATTCTAAAAATCTACTCCTCACCTAGTTTGTAGTTTACTCATTCTTTGTTTCAAATTTACTGTTAAACCTTTCTCATGTCAACTTTTAATGTAAAGATCTTTCATTATTTTTATGTCATAAAAGAACCTACTTGTGTTTTCAGTATCTGTTGAAATTTCAGTCTTTTATTTTTCTTGGAGGGGAAAGGCATGTTTTTGTAGTCAGTGAACAACAATTTTAATACCTGGAGGTCTAAGGTTCAGTACGCATTAACCATTGTTTCTGCATTCTTGTTCCATATATGGTGGTTATCTTTACTTAAATGCTAAACATTTACGTCAAAATAGTTTTGTAAATATAATGAGAACTGAAAGCTGATGTGATCTTCTTTAAAAAGAAAAACTACTGTTTTCTTCTGCTAGGTACCCAGGATCTCCTTTAACAAAACTTGGTAAATGGATTTTTTTCGAATCACCTCAAATGACTTAGACATTTGGCCACAGACCTTATAAAGTAGGTTGGCTTAAATTTTCCACTTATTCCAAGAATGATTTTTCTTTGGAATCCTACACAATAATCAGAAATGTACAATCACTATGAAATGATTGCAAAGACTTTTCCCAGACTCTGTATCAAAAAACCTTCGATGAAAACATTGTCTGTAAATTGCCAAATATTTTTTTCTTTATTGTGTATATTGGACTAGCAATTTTCTCCTGATGTTTCAGCAAGCATCCTTGTCCAAATCACCTAATTCACGACTTAGAATACCACATCGTTTCTTTAATAGACACAAGGGAATATGGCTAAATATTACTAGCAAGAAAAAAATAAAATTATTAAGTAGTACTCAAGGAAAATGTATTCTGTCAAATCTGTGCAGAGGCCAGGCATCTTGTTCATAAATTCCTTGAGACAACTGAATATAAACAAAAATCTTTGTTTCACATTTGTGGTGCCAACAAAAAGATCATTAAGAGGTGCTAACTATGTGACATTTAGTAGTAGGTTAGATCTGATAGGCTGACTCCCCAAAAGATTAAGGGAAGATATGACAATGCTCGATAGTTCATTAATAAATATTTTTAAAAATGAACACTGTAAATGCAAACAAATGTGAAATGGAAATGAAGATAGTAAAAAAATACAAGCAGTCAAATAGAAAGGCCATATCCAGAATTAAGTTACAATATCAGAGAATAAGAAGTGTTTGGACTAGAGAGGATCTAGTAAATAACCAATAGATGTATCATGGTGCAGTATTAAATTGACCCTAAGGGTTAAAGTTATAAAAATAAAGAATGTGAAGTTGGATTATCATAATAAAACTATAAATCTTGAAACAATCACTTTCAGTGAGGAGGAATCTGAATCTAAATTCTAACTAAAGAATAGTTGTTTCCAGTGTAATCTTAAACCATGGCATGTGGTCGTAAGGGTTGACTAATTGTCTTATCTCACATTCATATTCATATATATTTGGTATATTTGTTGTACATACATAGAAGGCAAAAATCGATGTGACATCAAAAGATTAATTCAAGGTAATAAGGAGGTAGTACTTGGATCAAAAACAAAGGAATCTTCAGGACCAGTGGAAGTAATAGTAGTCTTAGTCTCATCTCCTCCCTTCTCTGTCTTAGCACTTACCCTTCCTATTCCCTAAACTGCAATGAACTTGTTATCAGTTCATCAGAATAGTGTATCACTGAAGTTCAGACTCTGTAATAAAAAGATAGGATTTCACATTCTGACTTTACTACTTACTGGCCTTGTGACCTTTATCCTAGTTCATCAGTGTGTGAATAGGATCTTGTAATGATCTCATTAAAATATTAGAAATATTTAATTCATGTAAAGCATTTGAATCACTCCATAACACATACAAAGTATTCAATGGATAATACTACCAGACTAACGTTAGTAAACATATCAGGGCCAACATTATTAATACTTTGTTAGAGATTTTCATAAATATAACAAAAATACAAATATTATCTTCCTACCTTTAGGAAAAATACTGTATCTGCAGCTGAAATGCTATGGTCAGTTCTAGTTGGTATATGCTATATTAAGAACATGAATAATGAACAGTAATTGAAATACAGTAGGACTATTAAATGTGAGAAGCAAATATGACCAAATCAATGACTGTCTGCAGGCTGAACAGAATAAACTATTTTCATGAAATCTCAGTCTTAAAAATGACATGATTCTTCATGAAATCTGAAGGAAGCAAATTGAAGGCAAAACAATGCAGGAAATCATTAACACCAAAAAAAGTCTTATCAAAAACTCTCCTCTTTGAACTTCCTGTTCCCCATGGTCTAAATTTTGTTTTTCATTTTTAAATAATTAACCCATAAATCCTCTTTGTTACCATCAACATCAGAATGGATGACGTCCACCAACTTTGCATCAGTGTAATCTAATCTGCTGTTTGATGGTTTTCCAGAAAATTTTGGCCCAGCAGGATCGAGACCTGAAATAAAAGAAGCTATCAATTCAATCAAGTCTCATTTGAATATTCATTACATGTGATTGTATTCTAAGAATAATAAGCATTCATAGTTTTGGTTTAGATCTGTTCAAAAACATAAATAAAATTTGATACATAGCAAAACTTTTCATTTGTGGGTATTTATTACAAACTTTCAAAGATTGTCAACTCAAACAACACAAGAGATACATTAACAAAATATTTTAAAATATTTTAATATTTTGTATAAATGGTAATTGACAGTAAACTTCACAACTTTATAGTTAATAATCAGTCCCTCTACTCCTGAGGAGGGAATAAGAAATATCATCTTTCCCGTCTTGAACTTTGTGCCTTATTAATTCATTCATACACATTCTTGGGTTGAAAATGCTTTCCAAATATTATTAGAGGATAAGAATAAAATATATTTACTATTACATTATCATTCACTAAAGATAACAATATCCTTTAATAAAAGAAAAACATATTAAAAATTCCAATTAGTATGGATATTACTTCTGGAGTATTTCAAATGCAAAGCAAAAATTCTGGGCTCATGATTTTCTGAGGAAAACAGGTAAAACTAAATTTCTTCATAATAGATATGCAGCAGATGAAACAGTTATCTCTAAAACATAATTTTAAAAGCATAATACAGTGTTATTCACCTCAGACTCGCCTGTTAACTCTATCTTATTGGTTCAGTTGGCTGAATGATTCGTTTCTCTCTTCCCATAAATTGCCCAGATGTACAGCCTTCATGTTTATGTGTCTTAAATCATGATAATTGTCTGGTATTTGGTGCCATTTAAAAAGACTTGTATGTGCATGGCCACATCTGTTGATACAAGTTATTTCTCCTATACTTCTATCTTTGTTTTAAACTTTAACTAAAGACTATATTATATTTTATTAAAGCTTAAAATTACTATTAGTCTTCTATAGGCATGGTTATCAATAATTGATAAATAAAAAATAACACAAAATGGTTCAAATATAGTCTTCTTCTTCTTGTTCTGCCTCCTCCTCCTCCTCCTCCTCCTCCTCTTCTTCTAAAATCACTACCACTTCTCAGGAGATATTGAAAATTGTGTTAGCATCACTTGGTTGTTGTTACCTGGATGACTATGGACTACGAGGGATGCTGGGAAGTAGATTCTTCTAGCACTCAAAATATTTACAAGATTTAAGTACATCAAAATCCATGAACTGTGCACTGTTACATTTTAGTCAACATAGGCATAAGTTGACAGGTGTAATTTTCCTGTGTAGTCTTACAATACTGTGCCATTAAAATTTAAATAGAACTGTGTCATGGGAGGCCTCATGCCTGTAATTCCAGGACTTGGGAAGCTGAGGTAGGAGGATTGCTGCGACTTTGAAGCCAGCTACATGTTAACTACATAACAAGTATAATAACTGCATAACAAGTTGAAGTCCAGTTTGAACTATATAGAGAGACCCTACTCAAAAAGTTTAGATAGAAATATTAAAATTGATTATTTTCTCACATTTCCATCATAGTATTTGAAGTTCTATTAAGAACAAGAGAGGCTAATATTTGAATATAATATATGAAAAATAAATGTTCATACATGATACATAATATTTAATTGTTGTACTGGTTAAGTTTTAATGAAATAAACTTTGATACTCCACAGTTTTATAAAATGATAATTTTATTTTAAAAAATGCATTTTACCTGTTATTCTTCCTAGTTCACCATGAAAAATCTTTCCAACAAAACCACAAATGTGAGCCCCTAAACTGATACCTATGAAATGAAAATTTTCAAGAGATGCTCCCTGCACCTGTAAGTAAAAAGTTTCATTATTTTTATTTTGCATAATCACAAAACATCTCTCTTACATCAATATTCTAAAATTTGTTATTTTTCTGGTTTAATTCTGAGAGATAGGGAAGAGATTTTATAATTCTGAAATAAGTATAATTTTGTTTATAAAATATCTTGTGCCATAAATATTTGACTTTTCTCTATTCATTTTTAACAATATCAATTTTTTATTTAAAATCTAAAACCACTTAGCTATGATACAACATATTTCATAAAGAATAATAGTTACCAAAACTTTTTGGAATCATAAAAATATGACACTAGGTGCTTACTTTGTGCTAGGTACTTTGACATGTTCTTTATAAATCTCACATTTAATATTCCCAGTTTCCTCATGGCTTAATCACTTCTATCATACTGCCTAAAACTTTGTCTGGTTTCTATTAATTTACAGCAGTCAAATTTTACTAAGTAAAATTTATATTAATTTACAGCAGTCAAATTTTACTAAGTAAGCAGCCTCAGAAACATACATACTTATCAGGAAGAAGATGGACTTCAAGGTGCTAGGATCTGAGTATTAATGTCACCTCAAAATTAATGTGTTGAAATCCTAATGTCGGGGCTGGGGATTTAGCTCAGCGGCATAAGCACCTGCCTTGCTAGCAGGCGGTCGTGAGTTCGATCCCCGGTACCGATAAAAATGAAAAAAAAAAAAAAAAAAAAAAAAGAAAAAGAAAAAAAAGAAATCCTAATGTCTAAGGTGCTGATAGAGGTGGGGTCTTATAAGTGATTATAAAATGAGGTTGGAACATCTAAGAATGGAATTAGCACTCTAACAAAGGAGGCCTGAGAGGTTTCACTGGATCCTTTCACCATGAGATCACATTGTGAGGAGACATCCATGAATCAGCAAACGGACCTTCCCCAGATATGGGCTGTGTCACGTCCTTGATCTTGGGCTTCCCTGCCTATCCAACTAGAAGAAATACATGTCTATGGTATATCAGTCTACTCTGTGGTGTTTGCTACAGCAGATCCCATGGATATAAACAGGAATCCAGATCAGTTTGACACTAAGATTTATGCTAATCTACCATTTGGTTTTATCTAATCCGATTGTATCAAAAATTCCAGCATAACTGGTAAAAGTGCAATAATCATCCTCATGTGAGGGATAATAAAATGGGTTTTTAAGTGATATTGCCCATCACAAACTGGAGAGTGATGGAGATAATCTTCTCAGGCCAAGGTTTAAACACCTGTTAGCTGCAAGAGAGAAGACATTAGCAGTTTGTATGAAGGCATTTACTTCTCATATTTTCAGGAAGTTAAGACACTTAAGCACAGTTTCAGCCTGCAGAGTCAAATGTCTGATGGCCTATAGAAAGAAGTGGTGCATTTGCCATTAGTTAAAAATTAGGCTTGCTTTTTCTAAGCACAAAATAGTAATTTCCTAGAGTGATACTCAAATATCCAAGGGAGCATTTTTCCAAATGGTAATGGTAATGATAATGATCTTTTCATCCTTTCTTAATATAAAATTTTAACAACCAAATGCATTCTCAGAAATTCATATATCTCATCAAAATGCATACAAATTTCCTGCATTTCTCCATTAAATCCTATACTTGGTAACCTTTGAGATACATGTTTATTAAAGGCATGTATAATCAAAAACAGCAATTATGCAATTTTACTGAATATCAGTAAGAATGTCAAGGCAATTACATCTACAGATAAAATATAGTTTTATCCAGACTAGAAGATGTAACAATAATAATTAAATCTGACTTTATTTAGTGATCATTGTCACCTAAGGGTTAAACACAAACACACATGCATTTACATATATGTGTGTGTGTGTGTGCATTTGAATGTTCACTTAATAGTAAAACAAATTATAAATTTTGATTATCACAAACATACAAGTACGAAAACGTACACAGAGAGGTTTAGTGACTGTTCAAAGTCACATATAGGAAAAGTGATGAATTTGAGTCAGACTCCTAATCAGTATATGTAGTAATTCTGGACCTGTTATGCTTGTTCTGTTTCAAAAGAGGCTTGGAAGCTCAGCATGGCACAACACAATTGTAGGTGTTAAGTCCACAAATGCCTTACGAATCAAATATAAACCTTCCTTCTCACAAGTATCCATCACCTGCCTCTCAGGACAGATATATCTATATAACCTTTTTTTTTTTTTTTTAAGGTTAAAGGTTGACTTAGTAAACAGAATCATCAAATCACAGATGGTGTAGAATTTATTTGACCTGAACCAACTCTGAGCAGATTTAAATGGAACAAAAGTCTGCTTTCAAAGCTGGCAAAGTATGCTACTTTCTAGGTTGTGTTTTCCTCAATTTAACCAATTCACATTATGAACTATATACATATGATGATATCTATAATGATTGCACTTGTACAGTTCATAAACTTCTACCCACACAGATCACTAGTTTATTCCTAAGTTAGTACTGGTATTGCTAGAGGAATTCTTAAACTGATTTTAAATAAGACATAACTGAATCTTCAAGATTATTTAAAATATGAAAGGTCGAATCTAGTATAGAATTAATGACTGAAGCAAAAAAAATACGACTGCAATAAGTCAATAAATTGAAGTAGTAAATTTAAATGCTTTTGGAAAAAAGTATGTTGCATTACTGTTTTGTAGTACTGCTTAACACTATGTATTCGTACAGTATGTAGATGCACAAATTTTCCACACTTACCAAAAGGTTCTGAATGTATCTACTTAAAACTTCAGCAACTTTTCTGGTGTTTTTAACTGCTCTGTTGTAAATAAAAGTTGCAGCACCCTGGTTCCAGTCTACAACGATTAGATTCACATCTTCCTTATTCAGTAAAGTCCATACAAATTTGTGAAGCCATGATGGTGTGGAGCCCACTGGTCTGTATCCATGAATAAGCCAGACTGTTTTTCTGTGTTTGTTGAAATTAATATTAACTGAATTATTTTGCTGAAATAGTGGTTCAGCACAGTTGAAGTTGTTCCTTGTGTATAGCATCAGAATTATCTTTAATCTATGAATAAACAGTTCTTTTAAGGAATCCTTTACATTTAGCTTAGAGAATTCAAGGCATAGTCTTCTGTTCTCTGAAATTCAAAAGAAAAATAATCAGACAACCTAATTACTGGGATCGTATAGATTCTTATTGCTGCTACAGGCAACAGAGAACTGAACTTTGAGACTGAGAGAATTTTGATTGATTTGCATTTCCACATAATTTACTGAGCAACTACAACATTCAAAGTGATACAGTTATTAGGCATAAAGAATTTGTTAATTGTAATAAAAGCTTTATAAACTATAATGAGCATTGTTTGTATGAATTAGAAAATAAAAGTAATGTTTCTGAATGAAAACACTAATACTGTTAATAATGTGACAAACACACCAATATAGTTAGGTAAATTGATTATAAATGTTAATATTTTATGAAGAGTTTACATGAGATAAGTGTTAGAAGAAAGACAATTTATAAGACCAGTTCTCAAATATAAATTAAAACAACAAAGTATCATTTTTCTTATCAAAATAAAAATAGAAAACTTAAAATGCATTAGTCAAGTATAATATCCATATACATGATTGCTAAGAAAAAAAGATAGGACTTTCTTTTTAAATTGTTTATGTATGTGTATCTATTGTGTATTATTCATATAATAAAATTTTTATTTTACTTTCTACAACTTACATTAATGAAATAAACATCTTATATTATATATAAAAACATTATATTTTAATGTAATATGTATACTGTCCAAAAATGCATAGTATCTTAAATCTCATTATTATAATATTCCTGATAGTATGTGTCTTCTACCATCTATCTATACATCTATCTAACTATCCATTTATACATTCCTAAAGGAATTAGAGTAGCAGAAAATAGAGTAAATAAGAAAAATTAATAACAATAGTCATTGCTAGGCAGTGAAACAATGGCTGCTTTTTATTTTCCTTTTCATAATTTATCAGAAATGTACTTTGAGTCAAAAAGTGCATATTCTCAAAAATTTTATTGTAAATTATTTTATTGATGAAAGCATATACAGGTATTGTTTCTAGAACTTTAATTTTGTATGAACTTTTGGGAAAGAGATTTATCAACATATATCAAAAATTCACAGAAGTTTTTATATTTTATGCTAATGACTTTACTTCCAAGAATATATACTTAGAAAAACACAGGAAATGACTAACATATTGTATTAATATTGAATGAGTTTTATATTGTGGGACATTGCCAAGCTGTACTCTTCTAAGTAATGAGGCCCCTTGCCTTCATCTTCTTTGATCTCTCCTTCAACAAAATTTACTGAGTTATAGAGAGCTGGATATATGGAAACAAATGTTCCCTTAATTTGCTAAAAGAATGTGATCAAATTCTTCTAACTTGTCTCATTACAGCATGTAGGTGAGAATTGCCCCTCTTCCTGCTGGTAGCTAGAATGGGGGCTTGAACAAGAACCTGTGAGATTCTAGGGCTAAGACATAAGATTACATCTCAGATGAGGCCGTGGGACTTAGAAAGAATTATACTATCTTGGCAGTAAAGGTGGCAGCACTGCATACATCAAGCTAACCATTGCATTGCTAATTGGAGCCTTCACACCTGGTACAAAATTTCTCTGTTTCTCCTTACAGCCAATAGCTGCAAAATTTCTTTTCCCTAGCACTCTACTGTGGTGCCCCACCCATATCCCTCATTGATGCCAATAAAACTCATAAACACTCTGCGAGGATGAAATAGGAGATTTGCAAGACTGAATCCAGTCTGAGCAACTGGTTCAAAATAAAAGATAAAGAAAGAGCTGGAGATGTTGTTTAGTAGACAGGTCCTAAGTTCATTTCCCAGATATACATATGTATATATTACATGTAAATTTATGTATACATATATGTATATGGATATGTATATGGATATGTATGTAGTATATATTTATAATATATACATATGTGAGAAAAATATGTATATATATATATGTGTCTGTATATATATACCTTATATTGCTAGCTAGAACTTTGCAGAAGGCCAAATGCAATCAATAAATCTAATAATCTGGTTTATTTACAACCAAATAGATTTTTTTTAACCTGGCATAGAATAATGAGAAATTAATTAGTAGGATCCTTGTGATAAAATTAAGGAAAAGAAATCATCACTGAAGCCCTGTTCATTAGGAAAAAAACGTTATTTTAGAAACAGGTGCAAGATTCCATTGAGAGAAAATTTATTGAGGTTAAAAAATAAAAGGATGAGATGAAGAACAGAATGATAAAACTAGTAAAAATATAATTACATAGTAACAATTCATATAATTTCTATAAAGACATGAAAAGCTCCAATAGAAATAAATGAAGAAACATATTAAAATTTTGCAGGGAAACGTGTGTGTGTGTGTGTGTGTGTGTGTGTGTGTGTGTGTGTGTGTATGTGCGTGTGTGTGTGTGTGTGTGTGTAAAATTTTCAGTCAAATTTAAAATTATTTGTTTTTCTTTAGGGGAGTAGTCATGTGTGTGTGTGTGTGTGTGTAAAATTTTCAGTGAAATTTACAATTATTTCTTTTTCTTTTTGGGAGTAGTTTTTGGGAGAAGAGAGATAGCAGTTACAGTATAAAGGAAATAGCTGCATACCAATTTTTACAAACTGAAACGGCTCAACACATGTATAGAAAATCAGTTAATCACACTCACCAAAAGACTTCCTAGAAACTGGTGTGGATTTTGTTGAAAGAGAAAAATATCCTAAAAATAACAAAGTATGACATCTGAGTTACAAACAATGGAATGAAGTAAAGATGATTTCATTTGTCATATAAAAGAATACAGTACAACAATATAATAAATAGATAAGTCTAATGAATCAAAGTTGAGTCAAAATATTTATAATAATATTGTAATAATTTATACCTAATGTCTAATAATTTTATAATTTTCCTATAAGATACCACTAATATATAGTATACTTCCTGACATTATCATTCTTAAATATAAATGTTAGATTTATTGGTGAAAAGATTCATAGATATTCACAGAATGAAAAATTAGAAATGTGTATGGAAATAAACTCTGACTTGAGTTTCTTAAACATTAGATTAATCAATTCTGTTATATTTAAAATTAGAGATAAAAATAAAATTCCATGCATCATAAATGCATAAGGATCATTATAAAAACATCCTTCAAAAATAAGGGAGAAATTAAAATTTCTCAGACAAAAAAGGTTATAAGTTCTCTACTAGTGACTGATTCTATGTAAAATTCAATGTTAGAAACAAAGTTTAAAAAAAAAGAAGAAAAGAAAAAGAAGTACTATGTTAAATGATAATGCCTTGTTTTGCCTAGATTTTGACCTGAAAATGAAAGCACATTAAAGAGTAATTTAAAGTCATATCAATATATAAAACTCTGTGACAAAAAAAAGCCTGAAAAACACAGAAAAAATGTATTATTGTAATTTTTGTTTGTAATTCCCATCATTTCCCATAGCATTTAAATAAAACAAATGTGTAAATACAATTATAACTTTATGATAAAGGGCATAAAGTATACAAAGTAATATTTTGTCATCATAAACATAAAATTTGACAGAACTGTGAGATTTTATGTAATTGAAGTTTAATATAAACTAGATTGTTATAATTTTGTGTTATTTGTGATTCCCACAGTAACCACATAGAAACTATATATAGACCATATAATTAAAAAAAAGAAACAGTAATCAAAACATGCCATTCCTGAAAATCAAAACATAATGAAAAGGGAAAGAAATGGGAGATGAAATGCCTTAAGATACAAAAAACTAATAAATAAAAGGCAAGCTGAGCACTTTACTACCACTATTTAAGTGTAGGATGAATTAAACTACTCCATCAAAAGAAAGATTAACAATGACAAAAAAAAAAAAAGAATAGGCTCTAACTATATGTTATCCAGAGAGACTTGTTTTTGATCTAAAGATATAGATAAAGTGAAATTTAAATGGTAAAAGTGATATTTAATTCAAAAAGGGGCTCATATGTTACATTAATAAGAGAAAATAGCTCTTAGGTTAAAAACTGATGAGGCTAAGAAATCCGTTGAAGAACTCATACAGAAAAATTTAAGAAGAAAACAGGGTGGCTGTATTATATCAGATTTGTCATGATTTATTAAATACTACAAAATAAAAAGCACAACTAATAAAAGGAAAGATCAAAACATTGAGATTCATCAAAAGTTTAAACTACCATGCAAATCAGAAGAGATTATCTACAGAATGCAAAGGCAATCTCAGAATGGGGGAAATGTTTACAAATTATACTGTTGATAAGGATTAATATGTACACTATATGGAGAACTCCTAAAACAACAACTAAAGTTCAAAATCTGTTTAAGAGGTAGTAAAGAACTGACACCACGCCAAAAAGAAATTTAAATGGTCAATAAGTTCTTGGAAGTACGCTCAACACTAGTTATTTTTTAAAATATATATATAAATTTAAAACCAAAATCAGATACCACATTCAACCTTCCAGTTTGCCTCTACCATTCTTTTAAATCAGAAAGTAATGGCTCTCTAGCAGGACATAGAGAACCAGGGAACTTGCAGCACTGTTCATAGAGACACGAAATGGTGTCACTGCTGTGGAAACAGCTCTCTGACTTTTCCAAAATCCTTAAAATAGAATTGCCATATGATCCAGTGATCCCATTTCTGGATATCCACCCTAAGAACCGAAGGAAAGGATTTAATGATATATTTGTGTACCCATGATTTTATAAACATTCACAGTAGCTAGAAGGTGAAAGGAACAAAATAAATGGATAAACAAAATCTCTAAATAAATAGCAGTCAAATTTTTAAAAAATCAAATTCTGACAAATGTTGCAACATGGGATATTGTGGATTGGTAACTGGTGACTAATTTAAACAACAGCTGAACTAAATCAGTACCATGCTGAGTGTAGATGGCCCATCTGAGGGCCATTATGAGGATGAAAAGCAGACCCAGAGAAGAAGAGCAGTGTTGTTTGTGGGTTTTCCCAAGCAGTGTCATTGTTGGCTCTCCTGGAAGAGTTTGTCATGCTGGCTCCCCTGATATGAACTCAGTTGTTACCATCAGAGCAGCTCAGAATCTTGTTGCTGAGAACTGCTGTGGTTCACTTTGGAGGAGGTTTGGTTCTTCATACTTTGAGCACCACTTCTTGACTCCAAAGGGGAAGATAGGTGCTACTTAATGTTTTAGAGAAGTCTGTCATGCTGGCTTCCTGATATGTACTCAGTTGTTCTCTTCTTGAGAGGAGCTCAGCAGCTCACTGTCGCGGAGGAGGCTGTGGTATTTTTTGGGAGAGCGCTGATCTTTATTTTGAGTATTGGTTCTTGGCTCCACTGCAGAACCCTCAGCCTACTGGCACTGATCCTTCAACCCACAATCATAGCTTCCACCACTGATTTTAGGCCTGCCCAGCACCGAAGTTTCTAGGTCTTTAGTATGTGGACATATTTCCTGCACTTTTTTGGTATTTGATTCCTTTGGTGACCATTATAAATAATACTATAAATTATGTGTCCTATATGTAAATTGTTCTTGCAAGCCCTCCTGACTACAACATAGGAAAACCTTGAATGCACTGTTTTAAGTAAAAATGTGACAAACATAAAAAATGAAATACGTATGATTTCATCTAAATGTCACATCTACAGTTAGTTAAAGTGATAGAAAAAGTAGAGTGGTGGTAGTTTCCAGGGTGGGGGAGAAAATAGGGAACAAGAAATTAATGTTTAATCTGTATAGAAGCTCAGTCTGGGAAAGTGAAAAAGAATTTTTTTAAGAAGTCAAAGAACAGTAAATCCTAGGACTGCTACCAGTAAGAAAGGAATCTTCTACACTGCTGATGGGAAAGTAACTTAGTACAACCAGCATGGAAGTCCATATGGAGATTTTTTGAAGAACTAAAACTAAAAATTCCATTTAACTCAGCTACTCCCCTTCTAGGTATCTCCTCAAAAGAGTTAAAGACATCATATTACACTGACATATGCATACCAATGTTTATAGCCTAATAATTCATAATAGTTATAACCTGCAAGCAAGAGATGAATGAATAAAGAAAATGTGATATTTATATACAATAGAATATCACTTCATTATGAAGATAAATCAAAACATTTATAAGAAATAGATATACTGGGAAATTTAATGTTCAGTGAAATAAATCAGATATAGAAGTTTAAATACCATATGATATTACTAATTTGAGTAAAGCAAATAAGATGCAAACAAGATGCAAAATAAAGGATGGTTATACGGAAACAAGGATTCAGGTCTTTTGCAAATAGAAAGCAATCAAGGAGACACAGGGCAAGGCAGGGCAGCGGTTAGGGAGGTAAGAAGGTTTAAACTGTGTCATGTATAGGTACCAAGTACCCAAAGTGACTACAGACACTATATGTCACAAACATGAATTAAGAATAATAATAAGTATAAAAATGAAAACGTGGAAAGAGGAATTAAAGACAGAGAGGTGTGGGGAAAGAAGGAAATATAAAAGAATTAAGCTGTGTTATGTACATGCACCCACTTCCTAAGATTAATGTAAACTTCATGTACTGTAAACATACACTAATAAGATTTTATAATGTCAAAAGAAATGAATATATTTTACCAAAATTGTAAGGCTCAAGAATAATAAGAAATTATATTTGACATCATTAGACATCCAAAAATGTAAATGTAAGTTGAATTCACATTTTTTTTTGTAGCAGGTATTGAACTCATGACTTCACACTTGCCACAAGGTGCTTTTGTCACTGAGCTAAATCCGTAGCCCTCGTAAATGTAAATTGAAATCAAAATTACATACCACCAATGTAAACTAAAGTCAAAATTGTATGCCACTTCAAACCCACTAGAATAACTAAAATTTTTTTTAAAGACACAAAACAATAGTAAGGATGTAAAACAACAAAACCTTTGTATATCACTGGAGAAATGACAAAAATGGCACATTTTGTAAAACACATTTGCAGCTCCTACAATGTTACAAAAGTCAATTCTACTCAAATTAGTTTACACATATAATGCAACTCTAAATTAAGGTTTCAATGAAATGTACTAAGAGGGGGGAAAGTACATAAGAAATGAGAATGACATTCTTAAGGTGAGGAGTATGACTAAAATTATTTTATATGATAGTCAGATAAAAAGAGGCTGGTGAAACTAATAGAAATGATAAATTCATAGAACACAATGAAAATATTCAAAACTATATTAGCCACAATGACTGTGGCAATTAAAAACAGTCAAATGTAAAGATTTTGAAACAAAGAATCCTAAAATAATTATTTGATTCTAGCAATATTAAAACATTCTACGTACAATTACAATAACATAAAGTAAAAAAAACACAGTTAATATATACATAATCTCAAGTTGAGGAATGACGTCTTACACGAAGGAAGAAAACGTAAGATATGAAAGTGATAGATTTCACAGCACTTATATTTAAAACTAACTAAAACCTAATTTAAAACTAATTACAACTAAAAATAAAAAATATGGGAGAATTTTCAATATAATGTAGGAAAGGAGCTAATATATTCATATATGAAGAAATACAAATAAGGAGAAAAAAGAATACCTGAATTGAGCAAAACATGAAATGTATACACAGATATTTACAAAATAATCAACCTGTAAACGTACTAACACATGCCTTATCATTTTAAAAATATTTATTAAAATAATATTATCATATT